GGATGCGTCTCTAGATACAAATATAATAATAAGCACATCATTCCTAAAAATCTTTAAAATAGTTTCTAATCTAAGACTTTAAGCAAATAAAATCACATTTGCATATCAGGTTTCATTCAATATTGTAAGAGATGTGTATTCATTCTTTGATTAGTGAACTTTAAATTATTACTTTGTATCTAGAGACGCATCCGATGCTCAAATATTTGAACAATTGGACAAAATTAAAACTAATGCATTTATTGTCAATTAAATATAGCTAAACAAACTGAAATTACTGATTATTTTCAAAAATTGCTATTATTTATAAATATTCATCAAAAATAAGACATTTTTACTCGAACCTCCCTTGGATGAACCCTCCCTATAATGAACACTTTTGTCGTGCAACTGGCCGTTCATTATAGAGAAGTTGCACTGTAATAATGTAGGGATTATTGAAATACAAATAACAATTTAAAATAATTTATTTTAAAAATATAAGTAATTTAATTATTTGCCAATAATTTATGGTTTAATTTCTCAAATTATTGTTATTTTTAAAGATTAATATATTTTAATTATCAGATTCTGATAATAGATAACGTGTAGAACAAGTTTGGGATTTATACTCTAATTATATATCAAATAATAAGTTAATAATAATAAATGGATTGTAAACCCAAATAAAGTTTGAAAACCAAGAGATTATAAATTTTTAAATTACAAAATTTTGATTTACTTTCAGTTGTAAATTAATGGCAATAATAATGATAAGCAACGAGTATTGATTAAAATAACATTACGAGAACTTATTTTTGGTTAAAAAATAATAATAAATTGCATTAAAAAATATAATTTGAATCGCAAACGAAAACCTAAATCATTTTTGTTTTAATATTTTTCATTTGAGACAAGTTTTAGTATAAGTTATGAGTTTTATGCACTTTTTTGTGGGAATACAGTAAAATCAATTTTTACATACAAAACATGACAATGAAATATATTTGTATAATAATTGATTAAAGAATATTCTAATGACCGGAAAATTTGCATTGAATTTCAATGCGTTTAACGCAAACTCATTCCCAATTAAAATCAATTTTTACATACAAAACATGACAATGAAATATATTTGTATAATAATTGATTAAAGAATATTCTAATGACCGGAAAATTTGCATTGAATTTCAATGCGTTTAACGCAAACTCATTCCCAAAGAATCTCAATTAACTCTTTAATGATTGATATGTTATAACAATTCATTTATGAAATACAAATACTCTGTATATCTCTGTCTATATCTCATCAGACATGTGAGAGGAGTCTGCGGTTCACTGGAAATATCAAATATATTAATAATTTTTCTGTGTATTTAATGTCAAACGTGATGTTCACTAAATAGATGGTTATTGTATGTGTGAGTGACTAACGTAATGCAAAATGTATGAGGGTGATTCATTGGCCTTCAAACGAGATGTATGCAATTTAAAAAAATCACTTACCGATGCCGAGTGCGGTGCCGGCCATCCCTCTGTGAGCGATAGCCCTCTGATGCCCTTTAAAGCTCTCATAATTGGTGAGCGCTTTCTCGCCCTGTATTTGCAAACGACCTTTGATTGAAAGACAATGCAATCGTTTTACTATTTATTTATACAAACAATTTGACAGACTTTGATCTCATGTGAAATACTATAGTATTTGTTGTATATTTTATGCCACAAATAAATTTCAATAATTATATTTTTCATTTCATTCAAAAACAAGTATTTATTTAATGGGAAATAAAACTTATCTGATAAATTATTAGTTACATAATTGCCTGTATTCTGTACTTAAGAGTACTTTGATATTATTAGCAGAGCTATACTGTATTACATATTATCAGAGTTACTTTGCTCTTGCCTAAAATATACTAAAAGTGTACATTTAATCTACTTTAGTGTACCCCTTATTAAGTACACACTCTGACCGCTCATAACTACAGATCTAGCCATTAATTGTATGTTAATTATTGTGCGAATTAATGAATAATTAACTAAAATATGACCCAAAATGTGCACATATTTACCTTATCGCAATTTAAACAGAGTTTTTAAATATGATCATTTTTAATACTGTACTTCAGTTTTTACGTTAAAAAATATTTCATTCAGAAATTTAAGAATTTGTTTTTGACGCAAAAAAATAGTGTGACATTTGAAACAAACATCAATTCCTGACTTATGTCTGCATTTAAGGGTAACTGTTGTATGAAATACAATACATTTTCCCACTAATCCAGGGATCCTATGGCTAAATAAAGCGCTGGTATGTAATGGGAAAGTCATTCCCACCAGCGATAGATACACTGTATTCCTCATTGACTGTATGTTTTTCAATAGTATTTGAAACATTAATTTAAATTGAAAATAATAAAAATACAATATTTTTTGTAAAGCATTTCCTAATAAACTTAATGAAGGAATTATTCGTATAAAAACAGCACTTTTTTGCACTCAATTTTTCGGCACAATATTTTATCTCAAAGTCTTTAATATTTGTAATAAAAATATGAAAACCATTATAAAACATAACCACTGATCGATAAATAATTAAATCATTTAAATGCAAATGAGTTACTAATTTAATAGTGGCCTCAATATTATACTTGAGATTTAAAAATAATAAAACTACAAATTGTGGGTTAAATAGGAGACACTTTAGTGAAACAAAAATCATTATATAATTTCATAAAATCTCTCTCTCTCTCTCTCTCTCTCTGATTGCATGGAAACAAGTTTTCCTTTAAGACACAATCGATTGAATTTAGAGATAGTGTTTTTTGAGGCAAAAACCACTCAAAAAATATATAAAAACCGATTAAATAATTAAATTTAAAAACCAATTGTTAATCACAAAAACCACATTAAACCCTATTTTTCTAAAACAATAATTAAATTGAATATACCTTTAATGAGATCCAAAGGATAGGTAACTGAAAACAAGACAAAATACATGACAATCAGTGGTGTTGTGCTAATGAATGGCTGGCAATGGTATTACTTGTTTCGGCACAACTGGCCGCTAAGAATGATAGCGTGTATTTGAATACAAAGCTCTCGTGTTTCAGGTCATGGACTCGTGTCCGGCCGGCCCTGTCATCGACGGGAACTGTGGTCAACGCCGGTGGGCTCGCAATCGGGTCCAACGGTTCCGTTCGTCGTCTCTTCGGCGACAGGGGTTTAAAACTCTCGCCCAAAACCATCGCCGGTTCGGTTGATGTGCTTGCGATCCAATCAGTAGATCCAATACATCCAGCAGTTGATTGTCTGCACGTTATATATCACTAGTGAGTATTAATAATTGGTGTAATTATTAATAGCTTGGGTTGTTTTGGTTGCCGGTTATCAATGTATGTACGGCTAGAATGTTGAATATTGAGCAAGGTTACGTTTACAAAATAAATATGCCTAATTGTGTACACTATTCACACGCTGTATAGTGTATACATGTATTAACTAAACTGAATTTAAATGCCTGTAAATAACACACAATACAAATGATATGCAAATCAGATGTGAACCACAAAAAGTGCAAAACCAGTGTTAAATCATATGTCTGTCAATCATGTGAATCAAGTGATAGACTCGACTCAAACTTCACGACTTTTAACCATAAATTAAACACATTTTTGTTAACATAAAAACTACACAAAATCGCCTCAATTTTCACCACAAAAATCGCTCATTAATTAGTAGTGAAAACATTGCGATAAACACAAGAGATAATTGCAAATCACTTTTTACTATCACTTTATGGGCAGATATACTGTACTGTCGTTTAGAGTCGGACACAGACTATGAGGAGACGGAATAATAATAGTAATAATGTTAATAATGTATTCAATGTATTAGCAGAATATACATATGTGTGCATTACATGTGTAATTTAGAGTATTTTAATCACGATGAATTCATTTTTGCAATTTTATTTCCCTCTATCTATTTGTCTGCAATACGTGTGTTGTTTTGATCGCAGACTTTTCCCATCGCTTTAACACTACATAAGTCACCAAAAAATTACGGCTTTTCTATGTGTTCACTGAATATTCCCACACAGAATATGCCCGGAATTTGATCATGGTTGTTTTTTGTTCGCCCTCCCCCCACCCCCTCGACACCCATTTTTGTACTTTTTAGTTTAGTTTTTACCCCTGGCTTTAAATGTGTGTAAATTTAGTTGTGATGTCATTTAGTTTTTTTGTTGGTTTTAAACAGGATTTTAATTGATGTGAAATTAATTTACTTCAAAAACTTGTCTCCAATTTATTGAACAAACTTTTTTGGGGTTAAAATTTGAGTTTAATTTTAGTGGTATTAAAGTTTTAAAAATATTTTAGTATTTGTTTATTTAAATTAAAACATAACTAATAATAATCTAACAATTCTGTTAACGTGTGAATAAAAACATTATTGATTTGATACAAAACTATTTTAAAAATATTCACTAATAGTATTGAATGCTTTTAAATTAATCGGAAAAGTGCTCCAAATAAGGGAAATAATGAACAAAAAATGTATAAATGTATAAATGTATAAATTCATAGACTGAACATGGACATGGCACCAGATTATAAACTACATGCTAAATATAGCACTCAATACAGTAGTATTGCGAACACAGCAGTAAACCGATCATCAGTGAAATAAAACACAACCTAAAATGTTTGCCGAGAGATCATAGCTTTCACGCATCAATAGATGTCAATACTTGTTGTGTTCAATAAAACATACATAAAGTACAATAACATACATAATGTTTGCCCCCATTTATAATACAGTAGACAATAAAATGCAACACAAGTGAAACAACCCCTCATTCATAGAGTGAAGCCGTAATAACTGTACGATTAATACGTTATAAGTAATGGTATAGAGAGAGAGAGGGAGAGAGTGATGGCTTGTGTCCGCCCTTTCGGAGCGATGAGTGTTTTTGTACGGATTTCCTAAGAAATGGTATGCAATCGACTACAGTGTGTGCGAACACATCTACACATCGCTATAGTCTATAGATCGGCACAAATGTGTGCACACATACAGTGTATAACACAGTGAATACAGTCTACTGTCGAGTCTATGGAGTATTTCATAGTAAATGACTGGCAATGAGAGACACTTTTAGTGCCGATATATCTGTTAGACATCAATATAACCATAATTTTAATCATTTAATCATTTATTTATTCAACAATTGATACAAACATTTATTATACCATTTCATACACGCAATGATTATGTGATTGTGAATCCCATATAGATTTTATACAAACTATTATTGCTATTAATTATTATTATTATTATTAAACCAATTGTTTGTTATTATAAACAGTTTTAATTAGCATTTTATTTACAATTTGTGCGACAAAAACAACTCAACGACTATAAGGCCATTGAGTTTACATATTATTAAACCATTTGTGTTGTTATTATGATATCTATTATTACCTATTATTATATGCATTGATATCTGGTTTTTGTGTCACTTTTTTTGATACATCGCTTGTATTTGTATTGAATTTTATTTGTTATTAAACGACACAAAAAAATAAAACATTACTAACAATAGAAAGGATCACTTGTTTTGTTTGTTTTGTGGTAAGTATTTGTTGTTATTTTGGTCGTAAAGCCCGCCAACGCCCGCCCCCTCACACCCCACACACCCGACGCCCCCTTAGTATTGTGTTTATCACTCATTGATTGTCTGTTTTGTTGTATTTTCATTGTCTGTCTCTCTCTTTGGACGCAATACACGACTCACTCGCAATTGGCTGAAGACATCGCAACCGCTGTATTGTTGATAGTGTGGACACCACGTGATTGGAGTGGACAGAGAGAAGGGAACGGATCTAATCATCGGTATGGAAGCGATCGCCAAACATGACTTCAACGCCACCGCCGATGACGAGCTTAGCTTTAGACGGGGCGAAGTGCTTAAGGTATGTCCGCCACACACGCCGTCTATCCGATGATATTAATGACATGACATGTCTGACCATCAGGTGCTCAATATGGAAGACGACACCAATTGGTTTCGGGCCGAACTCGACGGTCGCGAAGGACTTATACCCAGCAATTATATCGAAATGAAACCTCACGAGTAAATGCCCGACAATTAATTATTTCAATTAAATCTATCGCTTTGTTAAATGTNCCGAGTGGTCACGTAATATCCAATAGCGGTGTATTCAGTGGGCGTTAAGGCGTGTAATGAACGGGCAATTACTTGACGGATAGGGAGAAGTCTCCGGGAGAGCTCTCGCTAACTCTGATGAGGAAAGCGCCCTCGTGTTTGTTTAACAACAGCTTCTCGGCGTCCGCGCGGGTAATGCGCCCGTAATACCAGCTGTGGAGAGATTAACACATCTTTTGTTAATTCAATTGTCTGCTGACATACTCTGGATGTGATATTTGTGTATAAATATACCAATTCCCACGCGATTGGCATATATTTCTACACAAATACACATTTAACAAAGCGATAGATTTGATTGAAATGATTAATTGTCGGGCATTTACTCGTGAGGTTTCATTTCGATATAATTGCTGGGAATAAGTCCTTCGCGACCGTCGAGTTCGGCCCGAAACCAATTGGTGTCGTCTTCCATATTGAGCACCTGATGGTCAAACATGTCATGTCATTAATATCATGGGACAGACGGCGTGTGTGTGGCAGCGGACATACCTTAAGCACTTCGCCCCGTCTAAAGCTAAGCTCGTCATCGGCGGTGGCGTTGAAGTCATGTTTGGCGATCGCTTCCATACCGATGATTAGATCCGTTCCCTTCTCTCTGTCCACTCCAATCACGTGGTGTCCACACTATTAACAATACAGCGGTTCCGATGTCTTCAGCCAATAGCGAGTGAGTCGTGTATTGCGTCCAAAGAGAGAAACAGACAATGAAAATACAACAAAACAGACAATCAATGAGTGATAAACACAATACTAAGGGGGCGTCGGGTGTGTGGGGTGTGAGGGGGCGGGCGTTGGCGGGCTTTACGACCAAAATAACAACAAATACTTACCACAAAACAAACAAAACAAGTGATCCTTTCTATTGTTATTAATGTTTTATTTTTTTGTGTCGTTTAATAACAAATAAAATTCAATACAAATACAAGCGATGTATCAAAAAAAGTGACACAAAAACCAGATATCAATGCATATAATAATAGGTAATAATAGATATCATAATAACAACACAAATGGTTTAATAATATGTAAACTCAATGGCCTTTTAGTCGTTGAGTTGTTTTTGTCGCACAAATTGTAAATAAAATGCTAATTAAAACTGTTTATAATAACAAACAATTGGTTTAATAATAATAATAATAATTAATAGCAATAATAGTTTGTATAAAATCTATATGGGATTCACAATCACATAATCATTGCGTGTATGAAATGGTATAATAAATGTTTGTATCAATTGTTGAATAAATAAATGATTAAATGATTAAAATTATGGTTATATTGATGTCTAACAGATATATCGGCACTAAAAGTGTCTCTCATTGCCAGTCATTTACTATGAAATACTCCATAGACTCGACAGTAGACTGTATTCACTGTGTTATACACTGTATGTGTGCACACATTTGTGCCGATCTATAGACTATAGCGATGTGTAGATGTGTTCGCACACACTGTAGTCGATTGCATACCATTTCTTAGGAAATCCGTACAAAAACACTCATCGCTCCGAAAGGGCGGACACAAGCCATCACTCTCTCCCTCTCTCTCTCTATACCATTACTCATAACGTATTAAACGTACAGTTATTACGGCTTCACTCCATGAATGAGGGGTTGTTTCACTTGTGTTGCATTTTATTGTCTACTGTATTATAAATGGGGCCAAACATTATGAATGTTATCGTACTTTATGTATGTTTTATTGAACACAACAAGTATTGACATCTATTGATGCGTGAAAGCTATGATCTCTCGGCAAACATTTTAGGTTGTGTTTTATTTCACTGATGATCGGTTTACTGCTATATTCGCAATACTACTGTATTGAGTGCTATATTTAGCATGTAGTTTATAATGTGGTGCCATGTCCATGTTCAGTCTATCAATTTATGCATTTTTTGTTCATTATTTCCCTTATTTGGAGTACTTTTCCGATTAATTCAAAAGCATTCAATACTAGGGATGGGATAATACATGAAAAAAATTTTGCCATGTATTATTCATGTATTATTACATGTATATCATGTATTATTCGTGTATTATTACATACAATGCTTAAGAATAGAAGCTAATGCTAA